AGAAAAGGGGTACACAAGTCAATCATCCAGACTGAGATACCATCAGAACCCACCGCTGCAGTTTTAATGTTATTAATTATTATAGATACTTCATGTTCATGAACGGGCATAAAAGCTGGCATTATCTGCACTCTACTGTTTACATTATTTTGTTAAAATATGAGTATTCGGGCACGATCAATCGCCCCCCCAATCGCCGATCCCATGAACCCATCGCTGTGAATTCGGTCTTTGGATGGATCATCATGGGAAAAACATCTACTGCAACAACCACTTCAAATTCGACCTGTTTATCTACCACCAACTCTTCCCTTCAAAAGTCGATTCAAAGATTTTGGGAAATAGAATCTCCATTTGGCGAGACAGAACCCACTTCACTAGAAGAAAAATGTGAAATTCATTTCAAAGCTAATTACCAACGCACCCCTACTGGCAGATTTATGGTGTCCTTACCTTTTAAAAATTCAGAACCAGTTCTTGGTGATTCCAGCAAAACTGCAATAAAACGATTTCTCTCACTCGAACACCGTTTATTGAAAAATCCATCTTTAAGAAGCAATTATGTCCAATTTATGCAAGATTATCTACAATCAAACCACATGTCAGTGAGACCTACACCAGAAAATCCTTCTAAAGGATCATATTATATAGCTCATCATTGTATCATGCAGTCAGATAATTCTTCATCCAAATTCAGAGTGGTTTTCGATGCATCGGCCATAACTTCCAACGGCAATTCTTTGAATAACCAATTAATGATCGGCCCAAAGCTACAACAAGACGTTGTTAAAGTGTTACTAGCATTTAGATGTTTCACTTACGCTTTTACCTGCGACATTAAACAAATGTATAGACAGATCTTAATTTCAGCTTCTGACCGATCATATCAAAAGATCTTTTGGCGATTTGATCCTGATGAGCCTATCCAAGAATATATTTTAAATACGGTGACATATGGTGTGGCCTCATCTCCGTTCCTAGCTCTACGTACCTTACTAGAACTGGCCAAAATTTATGACAATAAATATCCTATGGCTGCTTCTGTATTGCGCAATCATGTATATGTCGATGATATTGTCGCAGGAGCCCAGTCCATTAAAGAAGCACTTGATTTACAGCAAGAACTAATCAATTTGTTGAAGGAGGCAGCTTTTGAATTGAGAAAATGGGCAAGCAATTCCAATACAGTTTTAAGAGCAGTAGCCAGCACAGATCTATCTACGCCAATATCATTGGATTCATTGGAATACAACAAAAATTGGAAAACTTAAAACATTTTGCATGCGTTAACAAATTTCTCACGCTCTTTCAGTCTCGTAGTCATCTAAGTCATCAATCTGATATCTGATCAGTCACGTCATCACTGATGGAATTAAGCTCTTTAAAAATTGAAACCAACTTAGCAGCTTTGACATTGCGTAGCCGATTACGTAGTTTTGAATGGACTAAACAGTATGATGAGAAGAGTCTTTCTATGTTGGCTGACGATGCAATAGCTGTATGAAGCTGTTGACCAAGTTCCAATGCTGTCGTATTTATATTTTTTATAGAACACCACCATGCCAATGGTTTTACATTCCCAATTAGATGTTTAGAAAACATATATGGTTTAAAGGGTACACACTTTGCCTGGTAATTAATAATAATTGGCAATGCTTCTGGATGATGGGTATCTAGATATTCCATGCTAGTTTCTATTTGCTCTTGACTAAGTTTATTTCCTCTAAAGCGATGATCAAGCAAATTTGCCAAAAAATAAGCTGGGGTCAAAGCCATTTCCATACGCTCCTTGACTTCTTGGACTGTGTCAAAAGCAACTGCGATATACTTTAATTTTTTTAAATAGTCTTGGGCATTTGTCTTTAAATTGGTGTCCTTTACAAGCTTTATCATATCTTTATCAATACTTATTCTGTTGTTTGAGCAAACGTTAAATGATATTGACCAGTTTTTCAAGTAACTTTCCAAGCAGTCCGATAAAATATTCCAACGAACATCCCGAGGCAATACAAGAGCCGACTGTAGTACCACCCCTATAAATATTTAAAAGTTGTTTTAAAACACCCTGTATTGAACTTACTTGCCCATGATATAAAAGTTATAAAAGTGCCAGGAATAAAGAGTAATATCAAAAAAATTTGTAAATATTTCAGGAATGTATCGATTTGCCAAGTATCAAATCTGTAGTTTAAAAAAAAACGTATAGTCCCAAAAAATGTTAACAATCTGTATCTCGGAAACGATTGATTTGGGGATCCATGTTCATTAACACTTTTTGACTTGTTTTCGACTGTAGTACTACCCCTATAAATATTTTAACGTTGTTTTAAAACATCCTGTATATGGGTTGAACAACCATAAGTTATTATATCTTTTCAAACAGATCTCTTCTCATTTTGGTCACATTTGCAGCGTTGTCTGTGATTATACTAGTTACCTTACAATTATATTCTTCACATTTCTTAATTGAATTTTTAAGTAGCTAGGACAGTTTAGTACAGAGTCGGACTTCAAATAAGGTATCTATTATTTAGTAGAATAATAGATCAAACATTTTGAATTATTATGTTATTATGTTTGAAAAAATATGATTTAAACAGTTTTTTTCTAAAAAACAAAAAAAAACATCTGTTTTGTATAAAATTAAAAAACATGTTTTTTTCAACCCTGTATGAAACCCAGTCTTGAATTCGCTTAGACTTTTTGAATAGACATAGACATTAGTAGTTTAGTATTATCTGTTAGCCAGGGACTGGGAGGCTTTGTAAATTGTCTAGTTTTTAAAGGTGCATGTAAATCCATCAGAGTAAGTAAACAATTATTGAAAAAAGTTATTTTATCATTCACATTTTCCTGATCATATTTGTTTCTCCACGGAATTGGGTTCATTTACCTCATGGTAAATAAATTTTATCTCATAGTATTATAAGGATTAACATAATGCATAGGGTGAAAGCTAACTTTGCTTACTTTNTCAAATAATTGTCGTCATAAATAACGACAATTGTTAAATTTAATTGTCGTAAATTTTTGTATGGATTAAATATTTTTAACATACATGAAAAAAAGGGTCGGGGGTCGTGAAATATTTTTTGTTACTAGGGGGGTCGTGTCATGAAAAAGGTTGAAAAACGCTGCGTTAAACAAATCAGCTGAAGGTATCCCATCATAAGTACTAAAGTCGTTTACACAGCCTCATACGTACGATTGAGAACAGAATCAAAAGTGGAAAGAAGTTTATCTATCAACATGGAATAGAGCAACTTGAGGAACAACCCGAATTGGATTCTATCAATGGGCGCTAACATTTATATTAATATACAGGGTGTATCTGAATGACATGCCCAAACTTCAGGGGGTGATTCTTTAGGCAATTTTAAGGGTACTTTGATATATAAACCATGGGCGACTTTGGCTCCCCTAAGGAGCTACACCCCTCCAAAAATTGCGGAAAATTTTGGTTTAATTTTTTTTTCTTAAAAACCATAAACGCTAAGACAACGAAATTTGGGGAATATGTTTAACTGGTAGTAGGGCACGTTTTCACCCTATTTGTACTTTCAACCTATCCTTCTAAACTACTAAACGTAACCACCCCCTTTACATTTTTGCTAAAATTTTTTTATGCAGAGGGTAAATACATTAAAAATTAAAAAAAAAAAATTACAGAGGTAGATGAAAAAGTATCCTAAAACTTTTTTGTCTGTATTGTATACTGATGTATTAAATAGATAGTATTAATAGTATGACTCTTATACAAAAATTTTAGTCCATTCTTACGAGGTCCGTTATATCGAGGTTTTACTGTAGGGAACTCGGGGCAGAATGGGGTACCAACTTAAAAATATGTTTTAAACTACAAAAGGATTAATTAAAACATATGCAAAATTTTCTATAAATACATTGTAATGTAATAATCACAAAAATACAACAATATTGTAAGAAAATAAAAGAACAATACTTTTTTTCAAAAACAGAACATTATGTCATTTACCCCGTTCTGCCCCATGCCCGGGGCAGAACGGGGTGGTAAGGACAAATAATTACAAAAACATAAAACTAGTAAAAATGCATAAAAAATAATTTTGATTTTGAAGTTTTAAGTGACTCTAAAGCATTAACTACAGTTTTCATGGATTTCGGTTCAGTCTATTCACAAAATGCACACACTAGAACAGCCTCATCATCTTCAAGATGATGAGGCTCATCTTCGCTATCTATTGCCGCACAAGAATTGTCTGCCCATTTTTTGCACATGGAACAAGCGGCCCAACCTTCAATTGACTTTGAGTACAATTTACCGCAATATAAACATTCACAGTCAGAACAACTTTCAGAATCACTTTCGTTAGTTTTGGTTTCTCTCTTCAGCTTCTTCTTTTTTCCATTTTTATTTTTTCCGTTTATTTTATTATTGTTCTCTTTCTTAAATAATCTTTTCCTTGCTCTTTCTTCTTTGGCAAAATTCTTTTCCTCGTTTTCCTGAATAGCAGCTTCTAACTCCTTTTTGTATGGGGAATCTGTTAAGACCGCGGTCTTTCCCCTCTTCCGATTCGTCCTTTTCGGGCCTTCTTTAACTTTTGGGATAGGCATTAGAATAGTAGGTGAAATATGAAATGAAGAGGCCCTGTTATCTGTTGTCATCCAAGAGCAATCAGGAGTGGCAGAATTAGCCTCATCATTAGAGTTGACTGAAACCTCGCCAGCTTTATCATCCAACCTGATAGGCATGTCTTTTTTAACGCCTGTGCTAGGCGAAGGCAACTTCAATTGTTCAGCTTCAGATACGATCACCTCTTCACCTGAAGGGCTATCAAGTCCTATGTCAGTTGTGTCTACTGGGAGAAAATCGACATCGGTGAATATGGATGGGTCAGTTGGCCATATTCCTATAGCTTGGAAACCATTAATAGCAGTTTTCATTGTTGCACTTTGAATAAAAGCTGATGCAAAAAGCGTTGAAATTTGAAAAAGGGTTACGACTTTTCCTGGGTTGCTTCGTAACCATTTTCGAAGCTCATTGCTGTAATAAACACTTAAAGGCTTCATAAAAGAAACGAAAATCGAGTGGCTGAAGTCTGTGAGAGCAATGTGGTGGTAGACATAGCAACGTAACGCCACTCTCCCTCGCGTAATCTATAACCTGAAGGTTCTTAGTGTGTGTAGAGTGGCCATCTAAGATAAGAAGAACCGGGAAGTCTTTCGATGCCTTAGAAAATTCTACAAATCTTCGAAACCATACAAGAAATAACTCAGCAGTCATCCATCCAGTGTTGTGCACCTCTGCCCACCCTCCTGGTGGTAATCCCAATTCAGATTCTTTCTGCCTTTTCTTTCGAGGAGAAATGAGCATCGGTGCTAAAAACAATCTCTCAGTTAAAAATATTGTGAGGCAGAATGGGGAAGTACCCCACCCGTTCCGCCCCAGTGATAGGATTTAGGTTAGAACGGTCAGATTACTCAAAAAAAATAAACAAACGTTTAAATACACGAAACTAACCAGAATTAAGCGTACTTCACGCATATACTAACTACAGCTGTACTGTAAACAAGTATGTATACCTACCTTGGTTACAAAATCATCAGAAATTACACTATAAGAGCAAAAAATCACACAACGCGAACTTCACGAACAAACGCTCGAGAAAACTAGACTAACATGGGTGCGGTACTTGAATTGTGACAGGTTGGGCTAGTTTTACTTATTGTCGCTCACTAGTAACACCTTCTTTATTCCGAAAAACGTCAAACTTCATTGCGCCCCGGTAGCCCGTTGTGCCCCGGGTTCCCTATTTAAATTTAAATTCATTTTTCATAATCATAAATTTTCTGTTTTTCTGTAGATTGCATGTGATAATAACCACGATTTTAAAGTTCTTGTACAAAATTTCAATTCAATTCCCGTTCGATTGATAGTATCTACGGATAAAGAAAGAAGTATAATCTTTTTAGATGGAAATCGATATATTATTAATAAAAACACAGAACAAGTGATAAACATTTCCTACAAATCCGATTTTATTGGATATTACGTTTCAATCCTTTATTTCATAATTAACGAAAGTACGGTTATAACGGTACCACTCCTAGCGGAAGTGGTCCCGTCTACTTTACAAGTTTTAACAAATGAGTTACAACTCGATTTAAAAAATAATTCTAAATACATCGAAATCGAAAATTGTTTGAATATTGATATTCCGTTTATGTGGCTGTTAAATGCTCCGAATGTTATGATCAAACCATGTAAAGGAACTGTACCATCTAATAGAAAATTAGTATGTATGGTTAGTTATTGTTTCGATCAATGTGGACCAGATTCGGTTGTTGCCAAATTATATTCAAAAAGTATTACAACGGAAACGGTTGAAATAGAATTGATTAGAAGAAAAAGCAAACTTACGGCAGAGAAACTTAGTTTTGGAAAGATCTCTTTAAACGAGGAAGCTATGGAGATATTAATGTTAAAAAATAATTCTAAGGTAAACCGACTAAAGTTTTATATAAAGCAAGATGATATACCGAAAGGTTTATCTGTATTTCCTTTAACTGGGTTTATTCATCCTTTAACGGAATTTAGCGTGTATATTGTAGCTAAATTTACGCATTGTGTTGTTTTTAATTTGATTTTGAAAATATATAATACTTCTACAGGTAAGAAAAATAATTCAAAAATTGGTTTGTATAAGATGCAATTTTTCTTTTAGATGAAGTATTAGAAATTCCAATTGAAGGTGAAGTTATTTATCCAGATGTAACAATAACTCCAAAAATTATCAACATTGACAAAATACCATCGAGCACAATAAAATATTTCAATATCATATTAACAAATAACAGTCCAGTTCCAGCATATATAAACTTTGCTTTAAACGAATATGAAGAATTTTTTGTTAGTAAATCGATTTTTCCTTTTACAAAAGATATAGTAACATCTTTAAAACTTGATGGGGAATCAAGTGAAAAAATTTATATTCATTTTACACCGCACGAAGCTTCAAGTTGTCAATTTTATCTTCCAATTGTAATTAATAATTTATTGGGACCTCCAATTTTAAATGATTACATTTCAACGAAGGTTCAATATTATTTAAATGAAACATACAGTACAAATGATAAATATGGTTGGATGCCAGATTCACTCCCTTGCACAAAAATCCACACATTAATAAGATTACCAATAATTGAAATTTCAAAAACTTTTATTAAGTTTTCCACTTTCCCATCCAAAAGAAATCAATCAACAACGATTTTCATATCGAATCCAAACCACATACAATCCGAAAAAATTTGTATAAAATTCGAACAATTACATCACCCTTTATACATAGAAGATTATAAAACTGGTGACAGAAAAATACTAATTTTTACTTTAAAACCAAACGAAAAAGTGTCATTTACTATATCCTTTAAACCAAATCCAACAGAATATGGCGAATACACAACCTTACTACCAATATATTTACGTTCTGATACATCTACGACTTTTCATAATCTTCTCAAAATTGAAGCTGTGTATCAGAAACCAGATATACAAGTAGCGTTAGTCAAATCGAAAGATGTATCGTTAGATTTAAACGAAAATTTTGTATTTTCATTCTATCCTCTTAGTATATCATACAAAAAAAGAGATTTTAAATATCGTGTAACTTGTACGAACCATTTGGACGATTGTAAGTTGGAAGTTAAAGTAACACGATGTCGATGGCTGATGGAATTACAATCGATTAAATGGGAAATTTTGGGGTTGAGTAAAAAAACGGAACATTCTGGTACGTACTCGGTTGATTTGGTGGTTTACGAACAAGATGATATGGTTCAAGAGTATAGGAGATGGTTTGAAATTAAGTGTTCATGCGGAGGGTATTGGTTGCAGAAACAAGAAAGACTTGTAGAAAATAGTGTTCTTACTGCGTATTTTGAAATAGAACAAAAGTTTACGGTAAGAATTGCTTATTATTTCTTTTCTTAAAACTAGACTAATTTTAGTTTGAATAATTTTTAGTTAGTTTTTTTTGAAGCAACAAAACTAGAATAAATGTGGTTCAAAATGCTTCTTATTTCAGCATGATATCTCAGTTAGGCCTTAAATACAACACTGTTAAATCTCATCAGTTCGCTTGAAATGTTGATGTCCATGATTCCATCGACATTGAGAGCCATATGATCATTCCAAGCTCTTCTACCTTTACATCCTCATCTGATTGTCTTCAATTTCACATTCATATCTTATATCTGCGTGTCTTTTTCTGTGTCTTAGTGCATACCCTAAAATGATTTTGGGCAAGTTTGTATCTCACAAAATTTTTAGATACAGCGACGGTTTTGGTTTTTGTGAAACAAAATACATAATACATAAAATGAGTGAAGGAGCCGCTCATCCATTCTCTATTCTTTCTTATGATCACAGTGTTAGCCACATAGCGGACAATTCCGCTACGATTTAATGGACAATTTAGTTGTAAGTGAGTTTACCCCTTCTATGTCTTTGATAAGGTTTATAATCTCGTTTATTATCAAATTGAACCATTAAAGGAGCTTAAAGAGTGTTTTGTGTTTTTGATTTTGAATGTGTTTGTAGACGGAACATGAATCTTTAGTAAGACGTTCCCAAAATCTGGTGATGACATTTCTACCTGTCTGTCCTATATATATTTTATTACAATCACCACATTCTATCTTATAAACACCACTTTGTTTACCCTTTTTAAATTTGTGTTTGTTATTTATCAGGATTTGACCAAGTTTATTGTTTGTGGTAAAGTTTAAATTAAAGTGTTTAAATTTGTATTGGAGGGAAGGGTTGTAGTGTTTCCAGTGTCATCAAGTTTCCTCTTAAAAACCCACTTAGATCCTATAGCCTTTTTGTTTTTAGGTAAATCTGTCAATTATTCTTTTGTTATTATTCTTTTCACATCATTTAAGGGATCTTTTTTATTGCATTTGATAAACCATTCGTGAAGCCTGTCTTCACCACATGGTAGGCAGGTTCTGGTAATGACAAATTGCATTTCATTGTGTTATGGTTGCCCTTACATTTTTCGCATGTTAACGCTAGAAAGCTAAACTATCGTAAAAATACCGAGTATGTTTTTTTTTTGTTTATTTTTCTTCCATTACCCTGCGACGATTGACTCGCCTATCTACTTCTGTGCCTTACTGGCGCTGCTGTGTTTGGTGCACTTCTTTGCAGTTTGTTATTTTCGTGTCGCTTTCGATCGCTCGTGAATTTTACGATATTTTAGTTTTAACGCTTGGGTTTTTTACATATCCGTTTTGTTCATAGTGGATTATTACTATAGATTATTCATTGACAAGTGTTAATATTTTGTTCTCATGCGTAATTTTAGTGGTAAATGTATATAAGTAAAAGTAAATAAAGTAAATATAAATAAGTTCCAAAAATGAGTCGGATTCTGACAACGATTCTGGATCGGATGATGAAGTAGATCATGTGGTATATGATGGCATTATAAACAGTGATGACACCGATCAAGACCCACACTACGACCCTGATGCAACCTTAGAGCTGTTAGACGTTTCAAGTATGAATGAAGAAGAATCTCTACCACCAGTTTGGAAGAAGATGAAGGTGACTGGTAACGTTAATCCTGTTGTTTCTGATCCACACGTAGTGGTTTGTGATAAAATTAGTCTCAAAGGGAAAAATGGGCATCGTTGGACAAACAAGCTAACGGCAGCTAGAAATAGATCATCGATAGGCAGAAATATTATTCATATAACACCAGGATGCACTGATATTGCAAAAAACAATTATTGCCCGTAGAAGTTTTCAAACTTTTTTTAACTAACGAAATCAAAAATAAAATTGTTTGTAAAACAAATTGGATTCAAGAAATGAGTGCTAACTATAACGCTCAAACTAAAACTGTTAGTGTGATGAGTGATACCGAATTTGATGCTCTAAAACTAAACTAAAGGACAATCGTTTACCATCAAACGAGCTGTTTAACCCAGAAATCAGTGGTAATAGAAACCACGTCACCATGAGCTGTGACCGTTTTAATTATTTGTTGGAATACTTATGGATCGATGATTAACACATGATTAACACACGAGCTGATAGGAGAAAAACTAACAACTTTGCTCCTATAAGGGAAGTTTGGGATTTATTATTATTATATATTATTATTTATTTATCGCATTTCGAGGGCGATCTAATTTTAGGGGTATATCCCTAACAAGTCCAAGTTAGATTGAATTTGTGACAATGCCACTAAATATATGGTTGATACCATTCCTTCCACAGATAAAACGTTGAACTCAGAAGGTTTGCCTCAAGCCGAGTTTTTTGTGAAAAAGCTGTCAATAACTTGTCATGGATCCAATCGCTATATAACGGTTTACAACTGGTTCCACTCTGTGCCATTGGTAAGCTCACTCTTAGAGGACCCTTACAAACCTACTATTGTAGGTACTCTGAAAAATAACAAACGAGAAATACCTCACAAAATGGTAAATTCCAAGAACAGAGCCATAGAAACAAGCATGTTTTGTTTTAATGGGCCAAAAACTATGGTTTTTTACAAGGCAAAAAGTTCAAATGTGGTTTTGCTACTATCCACTTGTCTCGAAAAGCCTGTCATCAGTTGATACTTTGGACCAAATGTGTCATCGAATGCCGTACAGCCGCAAGACTAAACGGTGGCCTTTGTGCGTATTCTACGGCATTCTAAAGATTGTACTTGTGAATGCATTTGTCATTTACGCCACTAATGTTGTGAAAAAAGGTCAGAAACCGGTTTCAAGAAGGTAATTTACCATGCAAATACACCACAGCCTTATCGAGCAATGGCTGCAACAGCGGTCACAGTACCCAACTTTGACTCACAAACTCCGGAAATCTATTGTGGATATCTTCAAAGCCAGACAGGGCCCATGACCTTCTTCAAAACCTACCATGAACAATTTGTGGGATTTGCCTGTCCGTCAAGAGGAGGATGATAATTGGTCATCAATTAGTGTCGATTGCGTTGAGGACTTGATTGACCTAAACATGTTTTCAATAATATATTTTGACTGATTTTTTTATTAAATTTTTTCCACTCGTAAATTCTACCATTGTTTAGCTTTAACGAAACTTTTGAACAATTTAGCTTTCTACGGTTAAGTGGCCAATGTTCTGTGTTCTGGTCTTTCAAAAGCTGAGCATTCAACAAAGTAGGGTAGACTGGGTACGGTTGTGACAATTTTCATTTGATCGCGTATAATTTTGTTAGTATGTCAGTTAGCTGACAGAAAGGAGTTTTTATAGTAAAGTGTACATTTGTCAACGAAAAAAAAAACAGGTGGCATGTCTGAGGATGACACAACTGGCTGAACATTACTAGGATTTGAAATTAAAGATTCGTCCAATAAGGAAGCTGAAAGTGGCGGCATTTCACCGTTAGGATTGTTCTACCCAGCGTGAAGGCTTGGTCCGTTTCTTTCGAAGGATTGTGAAAAGCCAATTCTTGTGTTAGATGCGGCAGTGTTTTACTGTTAGCTACAGGATTGTTTCCTCCAGTGTCAGGATTGTTTTCACCAGTGTCAGGATTTAGTTTGTCAGTTACATAAGATGATGCAAAGTCAAGTTCTTGGAATGTATTACGATTATACGGATAAATACCAGTTTTGCAAAAACCAGCCTGAACGTTCGCTTGAGTGAAAGCCAGAGGCATAGCAGTTTTGATAATACCTGGTACATCGTAGATTGTCATTGTTTTTCCAGGATGACTCCGCATCCATCCATCACAAGCAGTATTTATAGCTTTCTTCAAGGGTCCGAAAACAGATCGATCCAAAGGCTGAAGTTTGTGCGAGCAGTGTGGAGGAAATGAAAGCAAAGTGATTCCATTTTCTGTGCAAAAATCTAATGTATTAATATGGATATGCGAGGAATGGTTATCCAACACTAGCAAGACTCTATGTGTTGGAGAAGCATTAGAGAACTTCTTAAAATGTTCGAGAAATACTAGGAACGATGCATTGCGAACAAAATGATCGTGATAACGGACTCGTGGAAATACAAATAAAGGAGGCATAGTATTGCCCAAGGCATTTACTGCAAAAGCAACCGTCACTAGTGTGCCTCGTTCAGCTGAAGTAAGGGATCCCACTTATCGTATGGCACGTCTAGCTACGACTTTATCAGGTTTTTTGACGGTAGTGACGCCTGTTTCGTCAACATTGTATATATCCTGTGGTTCATAGGTGTGCCTGTCCATAACAGTTTGCAAATTGTCATAAAAAGCTTCGACATTTGTTTTGTTAAAGCTTGTTGCTCTTGAAAGGCTAGTAGCTTGAGCCACACGAACAGACAGTGAAGGATTTCTATTCATGAATGAACGAAACCATTCCTCACCTGCCATTTCATTCTCATCCCAAGTACCAGGCCGCTTGAAATTGTATTTGATAGTCAGCTCAAAAACTAACGTACCTCTTTAGGAGAAAGGCCAAAATATATTTCTGCGCAACGTGTTATATATCTTAACAGCTGCTGTTCTTGCTTCTCAGAGTATACTTTATTATGAGCGACATACCCCATAGAGATGCTGTCTTCACTGTGATCCCATCGGCCCCATCGCGTTTGCGAATATATCGTAACAAAGACATGCGATTAACTACGTGCATTTCCGCAGCTTTCCGTAAAGCAGTTCCGCGTTTCACTTCTTTATAAGCGTCTTCATATTTTGTTATGTCACACTGCTCTCTTTCGGTCTTCCTCAAGCGTTTTCTGGGTATCTAAAAGAAAAAAAAACAAAATCTTACGTATCACAACCCAACCCAAGAAATATGTCACAACCATACCCAACGCACTCCTTTGCAAAAAAACAATCGCCATGACAATACAAAATAATCTACGTACAAAGTAATTACTGCTATATAACTACTAATGTTTAGCTTATAACGAGGAAAACAGTCATTACTCTATCTGTACAC